AACAAGTGCCACGCTACTAGTAACAGGTGCCTTACTAGTAGTAACAAGAAGCTACTAGGAACAAGTGCATCGCTAGTAGTAACAGGTGCCTTACTAGTAGTAACAAGAAGCTACTAGTAACAAGTGCCACGCTACTAGTAACAGGTGCCTTACTAGTAGTAACAAGAAGCTACTAGGAACAAGTGCATCGCTAGTAGTAACAGGTTAAGAATCGTAGCTTCTTTGTTCCGTTCGTAGCGTCCTTGCTCCTAGTAATATGGCCAGGAGCCCCTAGTAGCGATGCCCTTTGTTCCGTTCCTAGCTTCAAAATCTTTTCTCTCCTCCGGTGCAAATGGTGTGCCAGTAAGACCAGCACCAGCCGAGCTCTCATGTGACATGAGTGCTTCAGGTCGCCGACCAAAGCTAGACTTGGCTAAGGACCGTAAGTGCGTTTTGACTTTTTTTTGCTATTGATGTCTTTCTTTTTCTCTTTTTCTTTTCTTTTCAGTATTTGCATGTATTGTCGTTTAAATGGCATGAAAAAAACGGTGATGGATCCGGAGATCGTCTACAATGCGCCTGCGTCGCTTGCGTAGCAACGTCGCTCTGTGATGCTTAGACTCTTAGACTATCTGAAACCTCTTTTACAACCAGAAGACCGAAAATGACTCCCTTTTGACCTCCCTTTTGACTCTCTCTTGTTCAGCCCCGAGCCGCACGTGTGACGGTGTGTGTTTGCGATGCACTTGTTTCTACGTTCGCTTCTTGCTCCTAGTAAGGCACCTGTTCCTAGTAGCGTGGCACTTGTTACTAGTAGTGAACCTTGTTACTAGTAAGGCACTTGTTACTAGCGATGCACTTGTTCCTAGTAGCTTCTTGTTGTCACATCGCAAAAAGAATGTCAAAACTGTTCGAATCGAAATCAAACATGCTTTCTCATGTTTTCCGCAACTTGGGTCTTCCGCGGAATGGAGTCACACCACCCCAAGAACTCCTCAGAATGCAAAGCACAACAAGAATCATAGTAGCTTCTTTGTTCCTAGTAGCGATGCCAGGAGCCCCTAGTAGCGTCCTTGCTCCTAGTAGCGATGCCCTTTGTTCCTAGTAGCTTCTCTGTTCCTAGTAGCCAAGACCCTATTGCTTTTCCTGTTTGCTTTCTTGGTTTTTTTCGTATCTATTCTTTTGAGTCCTCCGGCGTGTAGAAGATGAGCTCGGCGTTTTGGGCAAATTTCATGTCCACATCACTGGCGTCGCCCTTGCGGCCGGCAGAGTTCCCCACCTCAACGTATCACGGAACATACGGTTACGTATGTTTCACTAAGCATGAAAAAACAGTATAAGAAAACACTTGTCCGTCTCCCCTTTTGAAACACAAAGATTCTCTTCACATGCTCCGACAAAGTCTTTTCTTTGAAGGAATTTTTAAGACCTTGCCAGTCTGAGACCTTGCCGCTGAGCCACATAAAAACTTTGGCGAGGTCGTTCAGGTGAACTCAGATGTTGCTCAAGAAACACTTCAACATGGTTCGAAAAGAGGGCCAAAGGCTGGCCACTGAGGCATCCACAACACAATGACCTAAAGAGTTTCCACATTCCTTCAGGGGGGTGACGGCCGTCGTGTCGACAAACAAATGGTGAGACGTTTTTAATCTCATTATATCTCATCTAGCGGGCACTTTGCAGTTTTTCTGATCACGCAGGGCCCCAGGGTCGCAACTCTTTCAGCTTTGACAGGATACAGCTCTTCATTCCGTTGTGCCCAGCCAGCGGATCGTTAGATCAGAATGAACCGCGTGGATCAGCTCTTCAGGCAGGAATGTTCTGTTAGATTCAGTTAGATCCTAAACTCTCGGGGAAGGGTCGCGTGGAAAGCAACTTTGATGTTCACAGTTTTGGTGATTGTATGCGGATCGGGCATCCAGCGAAAAATATGATTTTCGATGGCAGTGATACACTATGGCAACTTCGACCTTAGCCCTGATAGTTGACGACCGTTACACACTTAGGAAACTTTCACTTTTGACTGTCGACGGCGGTTGCACACACTTTGGCAAGTTCCACCTTGATTTTCGGCGACAGCTGCACACTTTGGCCACTCCCACCTCGATTTTTGGACAACAGTTACAAGCTTTCCTTGCTTCCACCTTGAATTCCACGACAGTTACACACTTTCGTTGCTTGATTTCGCGACGACAGTTACATACTTTGGCGAATTCGATCTTGATCTTCGACAGCAGTGACACACGTTCGTTGCTTCAACCTTGATTCTCGACGACAGTTGCAACTCGACACCCACGATCTCCACAAAGGACTCATCAAGGACACAAAAATTACGCCAGCGTAGACCCCAGATAGCAAAAAACTTTTCCGGCAGCACCAGAAGCAACGGCGCCAGCGCACAGCAGCGGCCCCAAGCGCACACGGGAGCAGCACCCAAGTTCACGCAGCTCTTCCTACACTTGAGATAGGAAACCCAATAGCACACGCTATCTAGGGAATTGCACCAGCATAGACTCCAAATAGGGAAATGACCTTTCCGGCAGCAACAGCAGCAACGGCGCCAGCACTCCCAAGCGCACACAGCAGCAGCACTCTGCACAAAAGTTCCAAGCGGCGCTGGCACCCAAGCTCGCAAATGCACACACGCAGCTCTTCCTATATTTGAAGTAAAAACCCCAGTGGCTCACGCTATCTGGTGAAAAACAAAAAAGGTGCTCCAGAATATTTAGTTTAAACTAAAAACAAAATGTAAAAACATGAAAACAAATGTCAGCAAAAATCAATAAAATCAACAACTTTAGTGTTGGATTTGTTTGGATTTCAGTGGAAGGAAGGGGATCAAACAATTGAATCAAAACCAACCTGTCACAACCCACTTTGATCACGCAAGAACATGTGCCCTATCAAAGCACCTGTTCCTACCATTCCTTCTCCCACTTCATCATTCAACCATTCCCGGAAAAAAGAACAAGGTCTGACAGAGCCCTGAGAGCCGTGAGCCCTCACAGAGTTGACTTTCACCATAAATATCATGTTGGCCCGATGAATCTGTGAAACAACGCAAACCCAATGCTGTCCCCCAAAACGAAGAATCCCACATTCACACCAGCTCTTTTACAAAAGCTGGCCTTTCCAAAAGATAATGTCAGCCATGGTCCTTGAAAGATTGCAGTGCATCTTTGGACCATGGCCAAGCTCGCGCAGGGGAGCGGGGCCCGCTCCGCTTGTAGTATCCGTACCGTCCTACCAATACTAGTATTACTACTACTACCACCATACTACTACTACTACTACTACTGCTACCACTACCACCACTACTACCACTACTACCACCACCACCACCACCACGACTACTACTACTACTACAACAACTACTACTACTATTACTACTAACAAGAATACTGCTACTACGACGACTACTACTACCACTCACAAGACTACTACTAGTACTCCTGCTGCTGCTGCTACTACTACTACCACTTCTGCTACTGCTACTACTACTACTACTACCACTACTACTACTACTACCACTACCACTACGACTAGGACCACGACTACGATTACTACTACACTTGCAGCGCCTTCTACAGAGCGGGCCCCGCTCACTGAGCGAGCGGGGCCAGCTCCGCTTGTAGTATTCGTACCAGCACCACTAGCCCTACTGATTCTGCTACTACAACTAATGCTAGCACACCACCAACACCAACAACAACAACAAGGTACAAACAAAAACTGCAGCCCCGTTACAAGATATCTTGTTCCTTTGTCTCTACAAGGGGGTGGAAACAAAATCTGCAACCCCGTCGTTGTTATTTTGACTTCCCCAGAAAACAACCGGCCAACATGTACATTTACCAGTAGTGGTAGTGCTTGTACTAGTGCTAGTAGCAACAGTAGTCGTAGTGGTAGTAGTAGTAGTAGTGGTAGTGGTAGTGGTAGTAGTAGTAGTAGTAGCAGTGGTAGTAGTAGTGGTAGTGGTAGTGGTAGTAGCAGTAGCAGTAGCAGTAGGCGTAGTAGTAGTAGTAGTAGTAGTAGGAGTAGGAGTAGTAGGAGTAGTAGTAGTAGTAGTAATGGTGGTAGTAGTAGTAATGGTGGTAGTAGTAGTA